AATCTGGAAGAGATGCACTACCTGATTGAACAAGCTATTTGTCAGACCCTCTTTAAGCAAGTATTCCAGGCAAGTACAACATGCAGGTTGAGGATAAGCACGTGCTCTCATATTTGAGATCTGGGTTGGAATGGGTTGTTTAGTGGCAGGAGTGTAAAACAGGTCAGCTCTTTCTCCTGCACTAACCTGTGACCTCATATCTGGCTTGAGGAACTAAAGTATTCATGTACCAGATACAGAAAAATCCCACATTAGTGTATTCTATCTGCGAGATGTTTTTTCTTGGTTTATTCTAAATTATCAATGGCTCAGCATCCAACTCTGGCTAAAGCCTGATACTTTTCTGGGCTCACCAAATTTCTAAGTGTCATTCCAAGAAACAGCCATTTCAGAAAGCATCCTCTCATGCCAAATCATACAGGCCACAGCTTTTGTGGGAACACTTCTGAGGTGGTTCAAACTCCCACACCAGAAGTCAAAGACAACACGAAACAGTTAACATGCACATTCACTTGTCCCTCACAAGAGCTATTTGAGATAAAGTCAGACCACAACTTTCTTGTTTGCAGAAGACTAACACCTGCAAAGAAAACAGTTACCAACTTGCAGAAATATCTGGCATTACTGACATTATTCCTGCACAACATTGCTTCTCTCTCTCACTAGTACAATTCATTGCTGTGAAATCTCAAGAATGCCAGTGATTGACTTTGAAAGTCAGTGAATAGCTAATATATATCTAATAAGCAGTAAAATGAGGCAGATGTGACAGCAAGCAAAATGGCAGTACAATAAAAATGACTGACATTTTAAAAGAAGCTTTGTTTTGTTAAAAGAAAACAACAACAACAAAACACAAAAACATACGCATAAAGCACCACTACTTCCTCCTCCAGCTTATTTGCAAAATCCATCTCACTGGTTAAACACCAAAGCACAGCTCAAGAGGCAAATTGCTTGAAGTGGGAAGAATCTCGCTTTCATTGTAAGTAATACATTGTTACCAAGGACACGAGCAAACATGCATAATCCTGGTGGTTCCCACTCTGCAGAAAGGCCTGTGGCACCCGCTGTGTTGAGAAGAGTGGAAGGTAGCCTTGGCACCCACCTCGCAGCCCTCACTCTCCAAGTATGAGGCAGCAACAGTGCCCAGAGCGAAGAAACACAACAATAATACCTTATGGCACTGACAGTGTCTTGTCAGACATTGAGGGCTAAAGGAAGAAACTTAAAATCAGTGGCGGTAATTCCATCCATGCCTGTTCTCCTCTCATTTTTAAAGCCAACGTTTGAAGGATCCTGAGCAGCGAAGAGAAGCAAACCTTTACAGTTCTGTCAAAAGCAGCAAGGGGGAAAAGCACTGATTATTCTATGGTTTTAAATCAATGAACACCCGCACTGAGTTACCAGCCAGGGATGCCCTGCCTCTGAGGTCGAAGCTGACAGATGGTGCAGGTGCTTGCATTCTCTAGAGGCAAGATGATGCTGCTGAGAACCGTGTGAGCAGTACAAGATTTATGAGAGAAAAATGGAACCATGCCACAGACTGAGGTATTTTGTTGTTGTGCCATGTCCCTAAGCTCCTGTCTACTCTTCTTCACATCAACCTTATTTTTCTATTTTACCCTCCCCCACTCCATCGCGTAGCATTTCCCTGGTGATATCCCATTTGCTTCTTCCCACACAGAGGTTCCCAGCAGCATTATTCTGAGACAATTCAGTAAGCTTCCTGGAGCTGAGCTTAAAGCTTTAGTCTACAGTGAACATACAAAACAGACATATACATAAGTTTAGATGAAGAGGTATTGTTGTGAGTCAGTGGCTATTCACCTCTTCCCTACCAACACAGGTATGAAGTTTATTTCTGGACCAATATCAAAGGGGCTTGAAGATAGCAGAGCAAAGGTGCAGAAAGCTAAACAAAGAAGTAATTAAACTACCATAAGAAAACGTTCTGGAACAAGACAGTCTAAGACTCCTTTTAAGCTCATGCAACTCTCCACCCGCAAAGCTTAAGACTGTGTGCAGTATATCTTTTACTGCTGAGATTCCATACCTCCTGCAGCACCAGTCATTCAGCCTTGAGATGGGTGAAGAATAAATCAACCAGTGGTTGTTGAAAGAAGAGGAAACAACAAGTAACACAAGGCTGGCCTCACACAAGAGCGAGTTACAGTGTGCAGTATCCTGGCATGTACACAAGGAAAAACAGAAAAGCATTGAGCTATTCCTTTTTCCTCTGAAATGCCAAAGATATACATATTTACCTGATGCACACACCTGGAACAGAATTCAATCCGCTCTGGAGGTGGTTTAATGGTTAAAATATAGCACCAGGATGTAGGAGACATCACGCAGTTCTAACTACACAAAATACCTTACCCACTTATACTTTAATCTGGATTAGAGGATAACCAGTCAATGCTGCAGTACAAATATTTGGCAGTAGCCACAGCCAACTGCCATGCCAGAAACGTATTAGGCAGAAGAAAAGAGAGCTGCTTGTCTCATGTAACTTTCATGTCAAAATACATTATCTGTGATTGCACATTACACCTTAGCATTGCTTTGTGTGAAAGATAAGATGCTCTGATTTAAAGCATTATAAATGTTTGCTAAATGCCCTAATTTTCCTGTCTTCTTTCAAAGTGGCACTTTATTATTAGCTTACAGAGTGTGCTAAGTAAGCAGATAATTTTATATTTTTCCTAATTACTTATTGCCACCTTAAAAGTCTGTATTTTAGTAATATTCCTTTGAATAAGAAGAATGTCTGCTTTACCTCAGCATTCAGTGATGAACAGCCACATTCAGCTCCTTGTTACTATGGCAATATTACGTAGGAGGTCCAGAAACAGATTGAAGCTTTTATCATCTCCCTTTGTACTCAGGATATACTTTCTCCACCCTCACCCCCTTTATTTTTGAACAAAACAGCCACAAAGAGGGATGGTGAATCATTCGGAGAATCAAAATAAAGGTTATTTTATTAACTTTGTTGTTACATTAACTGAGGATGAATTACAGGTCTATAAATAGGATATAAACACCAAACACCTTAAGATTTGTTCTTGTAAACTGTTTGCTTTCTTTTCATGATGAAAAAATAAAAAAGAAGCCTTAGTGACCCACTCTGCTAGCTTCTCAAGCAAAACTGAACTCCTCTGCTGTCTAGCAGTATCCAGGCAATGGTGTGAGCAAGGATCACTCACTTGACTTGTTATTTCCCCTGTAAACAACTAAACCAGTCAATGTAGGCACATTTGTGAGCATCAGGTGTGATGAAATCCCACTTTTTATGTGACCCCATCCAAGAGGCAAAAGGCTCCTGTGTGACTACTCACACCACGTCCTCTCTATTCATATGCTTCTAACTAGCAATGATTTAAGCCCCCCCACTCCCACCTCTCCTAAAGGGAAAAAGAAAGGGTGCAGAGTAAACTCTTTGAATGGTCAGTGGGATACAAATTGTATTCTGACCAGGTAGGCATAGTCAAGGTTTAGAGCAAAACATCTCATCTGACTCCGCCCCTCGTGGAAGTTCTCCCTAGTTGTCAAAGCAAACCAGGTGAGCAAAGGTTTCCAACTCGCAGGATTTGATGGTTTAGGAAGCAGGCGTGCTAAGCAGCTCAGCCAGCTGAGCCAAGCAGGTCCTGCCACAGCTGGGTATCAGCCAGGGGTGGCACAGCTGTCTGCAACCAGTTCCCTGAGTTCCTTCTGCTCTGCTTGCAATCTGTATTCATCCAGATGTTAAAGACACATTTACTACCTCCAAATTTCTTTTTAAATTCATCATTCTTAAGTTAAGAAAAAGAAAATAAAGTCACAGGACATTTTTCCTCCCTCCTACCCCCCCTAAAAAAAAAAAAAGATATCAACCCTTCAGACTCAAGAAAGGTGTGGTTTAGGATTTCTAACTTGATACACTACAGTTCTCCAGGTGCTCTCTGATGAGAGCACCATTTGGCACGTGACTATTTGTAGTCCTTCCTTCTACTTATACTTCAGTACTGCTCTAGACAACCCATTTTCTTTCTCCTTTACCTGTCCCTAGTCTGTAGTTTTGACAGCTGCATATTCTCAATGTATGTTCCTGTGGTTTTCAGCATTTTTTAAATAACTTACCAGTGGAGGTAGAGATTCCTCATTACGAGATTTAAGCCTATGGGTCATTGGCTTACTTTTTCAGAAATTTCATTAAATCCTTTGAAATAACCAGCACGTTCCAAACAATCCACAAATTGGAGCATTTTTTGATCTCAAACAGCAGAGAGAACCACTACAGAGACATATATTCCATAAGAACTCCAAAAAAAGAAAAAAGAAGACACTCCCAACAGTAAACTGTCAGTATGACAAGGTTAGCAATAGGCACATAAATGCCCTATCTTGTGCAGTAAACTTGCCCAAACATGCCAGGAACCAAAAACCAGTCCAAAAAGCACTGTAAACATTGATATGAATTCAATATTTGCTATTTCACAGTAAGTTCCCCCTGCAATATTGCCAGTTTTTAATTAAAGATATCACAGTGATCATTAACAGTATCTGGGTCAGACTATATCCCATTTCTAAAGAATCCTTTTGTAACCTCACTGGGAAAAATTAAGAAGCTATGAGATTAATATTTTCCATGTATGTGTAATTTAAAGGAATCACATCCTAATGACATCCTGTGCATTATCCCACACATACATCTGCCAAGACATATTATTTTCTACCTTAAAATGACCTGCATGAAGTCTACACACAACATTTTTCTCAAAGTCAAAAACAGCTCTGTGACTACCTACAAACTGAAAAACATGCAAACTCCATAGACCACATGGTTGAAGACAGTGAGCAGTACAAAATATCTTCTTAACTAGTACTTAACACCAGGGCATCATAGTGGTCCTTTTTAGTGATGTTTGTGCAGAGTCTTTGGACCTGTCCCAAGAAGAAATTTCAGGCATTGCAAATGATATGGAGAAGGCATGTTAACGTACAGGACAACTCACCTGGTAAGAGGCATGAAATTCACTCTCAAGATCGGTTCAGTACTTCACATGGTGGTAAAAGAGTAACTTCCTTGTCTCAGGTGCTTCACGCATCGAGCCCCTTTTCTGCAGAATTTTGCTTTTACTTCCTCCTATTTCTGTCCTAGTCCTAAATAGCCTCTGATAGTTTTTAATTTAAAGCTTTGAGAGTTTGGTTGCTTAGTGCTGTTCCCACTCGGATTTTGTTATTCAGAAAATTCCCTGGCAAAGTGAATGCTGTGAATCATTTCCTAGCTCCTCACTGTGTGAGGTATCTGCCCGGCTGTTGGGACCGTGCTGGTGGGTAAAACTCAGGCAGCCAAGAGAATGTTTAGGGGAAAAAAATCAGAATACCAGAATTTGCTAAAATTTCCTCTCCCCTGTGCTAATTGCTAAGAAGGTAATAGCTTCTGTGCTAATTTATTTTTATGCTTAATTAGGAACTCTTTTTTCTTTTCATTCAAAGCTCAGCTCTTACCAACACCCAAGTGTGATGGTGATAGGAAAGATAGTCAGAGTGCTGAGAGCTGAACATCAGCTAACTCTCACTGAACAGTTAATTTAACCAAAAAGTAAAACTAATCCCATGAGAAGAAAAAATTCTTAAGAGTTTTTATTACACCTAGCACTTCCACCCAAAATGTGGGCCCTTACAATAAGAATGACCTAATGTCATTGTCGTGGTTTAGGCCCAGCTGGGAACTAAGCACCTTGCAGCCATTCATTCACCACCTCCCCACCCCCAGCCGTGGAAAGGACAATCAAAAGTAAAACCTGTAGATTGAGATAAGAAAAGTTTAATAACTGAAAAAAAGTAAAATAAAAAAACCAAACCAAACCAAAACAACAACCAACAAACCACAAAACAAACCAGTGATACGCAATACAATTGCTCACCACATGCTGACCAGTGCCAGACCCCGAACCCAGATAGGCCCCCATTCTGGGTAGCTCCCCCAGTTTGTATACTGGGCATAATGTTCTGTGGTATGAAATACTCCTGTGGTATTCTGGAGTTCTGGTCACCTGCCCCGGCTATGCTCTCTCCCAGTTTTTCTTTTGTGTACCTCCTCACTGACACAGCATGAGATATAAAGAAAGAGGCCTTGACTTGAGATGAAGAGGACTCAACAAAAAACATCAGTGTGTTATCAACATTGTTCTCATGCTGAATCCAAAACACAGCACAGTACTGAGAAGAAATTAACTCTATCACAAATGAAACCAGGACAGTCATTAACTCAAGACAACTGACTGCAAAACACAGACCGCATGTTTTTGATATCTTCAATTTTATGGGGGGAAAAAAAAAGCAACCAAGAAACCTTTAAGGCATCCCAGAACTCTCAAGCCCTCATTGTACACTGCAAGGAAGGGAAAAAAAACCCGGATTTAAAACAATGTACTTGCAAAATAACCTTTAACAACTCTTTCAATAAAATTAAAAGGGGCTAAAACACCTTATTTGACTGTCTATGCACTCATCTTAATGTTATCGCTGGGAACCAGCTTCTTTGTCTGAAAGGCGTTTTGGTCTTCTGAAGCCTGCCACTGCGCTCAAATGTCCATTATGACACATATTAATGACTGAAATAGTTTTGTTATGTTTAATTTGTCTACAGTTTTTAGATATTAGAACCCAAAAGTTTTCTTTTTAACTGAAAAAATACTGAGAGATAAGCTGTGCAAAATTAACAGAAGTTACTGTTAGTATGTAGGAAGTAGCTTCCTCTGTCTCCTCCAATATTGCTTATAAGATTTATAAGCATTTCAGATGAAATTATTCAGAACACTAGGGGCATCATTTATCATTCAAAGGGAACAGAAAGGGAGCAAATAAAGAAAACAATAAATCTTAATGTTACCATTTGGTGAAGGAGGTACTATTACAGTCAGACATTAGTTATACGAATTCAGAGAATCCAGTGGCTCTTAACATCTGGCCCAAAATCAGGACTGCATAACATCATCTCAGGATGAGCCCATCTCAGTCCCACTTCCAGTTACCATGCACAATGACATACCTAACACAAAAGATCTTATCGGCATGGCTTCTGGATAGCTTTGCTCTAATCAATTCTTCAGGGGAAAAAAAAAGGTAATTCCCAAGTTCTCAAATTCTTCTTTCTAGTGTACTTTGAGCAGGTTCCTCCTTTGTCAGAGTTGGCAGTCATCTTCAATTTCACACCCACTCAGCTCATGCTGTATTTTCTGTTGCTGTGCATTCAAATTTATTGATTTTTTTTATCCACATTTCAGGCTCTGAACAAAGCAGCTTTCAGCCTCACGAGCTTAAATGTACTTCAGCCCATAATGAGTGAATCACTTTTTATTGCAATTGGAGATACTGATTATAGTTGATATGAAACCATAGAGCAGTTTCAAGGAACAACATTAGGAGTCCAGGATGCTCATTTGTAAACTTGCATTTCCAAAAGAGACATAAAAGGAAAATTCAGCTATAGTTCAACTACTACCGTTTTCGTTATTGTTAGAAGACGGAAAAACAACAATAAAAAGTGAGACTACATCAATCCAGCATATATTAAATTTGGTGGGAAATTTGCAATTTTTGAGGCATATTTGCTTGAAGATGTTACTGAAAATTGATAATTACATAGAACTACATGCAAACTCAGCTAAAGTGATATGAAGATGCATGTATTTCATCGCTATCACTACAAATGAATCTTTGCATTTGTGTATATGAAACAGACTCCGTAAATTCTCATGCCCCTTGCTTTTCTCTGCGGCCTTTGAGCATAGCTATTTCACACTTGTCTTACACTGGTTCATCACTTTTTCAGTGGCAGTATCAATGCATTTAATAAATAAATATTTTCTCAAAGCATGTCATTCCTGAAATGGCAGGTGAAAAAAAATGGAAAAAAGTGCTTGAACAAACCAAAATGTAGCACACTGCTACATGGTGCAATTAATATATAGAAAGGTTTATCTTCCATGATTTAATGGAACAGTCAACACAAATGTCATTTGGTGTAAACAACTGACATCTAAGTGAAATGTATAACGCTCAATATGTGGCACTAATCTTTGTTTTACTCTGCGAAGAGTAATTCAATTTAACGTGTTCCTATATGCTCAAACATTCATTTGCAAAACATTTATACAATCACAGTAAATGCTTAGGTCTGACTGTTGTCCTGAGAAGCTGGGTAACAATATTAGAACGGCAGCAGGCGGCCGAGACAACTGTCAGCCTATTAAAGATTTACCTTTCCTTTTCTGACGGTAATTTTTGTACCTCTCGCGGGCCCCCCTCACCTCTCCCAACACACAGAGCTCTGATGAGCACCAGGCACGGTCACAGCCCGGAGCGGGAAAGGCTGCGGTGGGCCCCGGCAATGGGAGGCCGAGGAGTGCTGACAAAGGATGCTGACGTTGCGCTCCCTCCCTCCTTCCTTCCTCCTCCACCTCGTAAATTGGCAGCAGCTCGAGAGGTCGGATGTGTCTGAATTACTGTCTGGGAAAGGGTGAAATCGCGCTGAACACGCACAGACCCAGCCGCTCCCCTTCCGTTGCCCGGCGCACAAGCGGCCCCGGGCGCAGGGAACCGGATCAGCCTCTGCCCACTCTGCGGCCGCCCGCATTGCCCCCTCCTCCTCCCGTTGTCCAAGTCTCTTCCCGGGAGGGATGCTCCCCGCTGGCGCGGTGGCCGCCCCTGCTGCCATCTGCCCCCCAGCAGGGACGGGCTCGCCCCCACCTGCTCGATATCCCGCCTCCGCCGCCTCAGCGTTTTCTTTGGAGCCGAGTTGCCGGCGACTGAATCAACAAGCTAACCTGTGAACGGCACCAGGCTCTTCCCACGGTGGTCGGCCCGCCATCCTTACCTTTAGGACACCGAGACAGCGAACACACGCTGGTGGACACCGCCAGACTAGGGACGCGAAGCTACCAAGCCGCAAAGGCTACCGCAACACAAGAGTAATTTATTCAAATAAATAAAAATGAACTTTTATGTACAAATATACAAAACCATTACGCACATCTTATAAAGTATTCGTAAGTCTTAAAAAACCCCAAGGGTAGAAGCAGGACGCCCACAGCCAGCTGCCCTTCCTCCGAGCACCCGGGCACCGGCCGTCGCCGCTCCTTTGTCCCTCGCCCCAGCGGCGGCGCCGCCCCGGGGATCGGCTCCAGGCCGGGGGCTCCTCGACGGGCCCCACCGCGGAATCCCCGGCGCCGACGGCACCACAAAGGGCATGACGGCTGCAGACGGCGGCCCCACCTCCCGATCCGGCGGCCCCCTCCGCGCCGCTCCCCCGGAGCCGGTCCCGGCGGGGTTCAGAGAGTGCCGAGGTGCGGCAGCGTCTCCAGCCGGTCGGGGTGGTCGCGGCCGACCGCGTTCTCCACGCCGCGCAGCCACTCAGTGCATTTCCGCACCAGCCCCTCGTCCGCTGCGGCTCCCGCCTCCTCCTCCTCCTCGTACTCCTCGTCGTCGTAGCGGTGCTGGTCGTTGAGCAGCGAAACCTTCAGCAGGGCGCGCAGGTCGCCGCCGCCACGCCGGGCCAGGGCCGCTCTGCCGCCGGGCGCGGGGGTGATCTGCCCCCGCTGCCGCTCCAGGCTGCGGCGCTGCAGCACCCGGATCGCCTCCGGGGGCAGGCTGAGAGAGAAGCGCCCCGCCGCCTCCCCCGGCCCCCCGCCGAGGCTCTCGCAGGACCGGCTGCCTGCCCCCGGGCGCCCTCGCGGCTGCGGCGGGGCGGGCTGGGGCCGCGCTGCCCGCTCGGTCGGCGGCCTCCGCGGCGGCGGCCGCTGCAGGGACGAGCACGGCCAGGAGCTGGAGAGGGGGCCCGGCCGCTCCGGGGGCGCTCCACGCGGCTTCCTCGGCGCCTTCTCCTCTGCGGGCCGCGGTGCTGCCTTCTTGGGAGCCGAGGCGGCCGCCGGCGGCTTCTTGGGCTGCGGCCGGGGGGCAGCGGAGGAAGCCGTGGGGGCCGGCAGGAGGGGCGGCAGGGTGGCGGTGCGGCCGGGAACCCCCTCCGGCTCATCGCTGCGGGCCCAGGGAGCCGCGGGGCGCGCTCCGGGCAGGGCAGCGCCTCGCCCCGCGGGCGGGCAGGGCCCCGCGGCTCGCCGCGGCTGCAGCCCCATGGCCACAGGCGGACGAGGAGCCCCGACGGTCGGCGCTGGATGCGAGCTCGATCTGCACCGACAGCCGTGGCTTTTCCCTCTCGATAACCCGCCCCCCTTCCCGCCCTTCGCCCGCCCCGGGAACACCCTTCCCCGGCGCGGGGTGGGCATGTGGGCACGGATCGGGGTCCTGCCGGCACTGGCCGTCCTTCCTGGACGAGCTTCTCTAGCTCGCTGCGGCTGCTACTTCTCCCGGTCCTCTTCCGCCCGACCCACAGCAGAGCCGAAGGTAAAAGTACGGCGGGGCTTACGCACGCCCGAGAGCAAACAGGCTCCAAATTCTTCCCAAAGTCCTCAAGCGTCGAAGTGTGAAAGGGCAGTATTTTAATGCCACATTGCACTAACACCCTCTTCTCCTCTTCAAAACTTTAATAATATTTTGAGCTCCTTGATTACTTGAATTACCGTGAATAAGGTTAGGCAGACAGTACAAGAGTGCAGTCAGTCCCACTCAAACCTAGGGCAGACTTGCTTCTACACCAAATTTCAATGCACAAGCCACTCTCAGGATAAGAGCTGCCCCGCTTACTCATGAAGAGCATAGTCCAGAGATGCTTCTTCCTAGCCTCAGTGCCATCTGTGATTGAGACAAAGTGCATTGTTCAACACTCCTGTTGTGATGTTTTTTTGGTTTGGTTTCGTTGTGGGGGGTTTTTTTGTTGTTTTTTGGGGATTTTTTTTTTGTTGGGGTTTTTTTCTGATGGACAAGGCAGCAATTTCCTACCTTTCAAGTCCTACACAACAACAGAGGTTTGTAGAGGTTTCATGGGGCAGCAGTAAGTAAACAAATGTTTCCTATCAATCCAAGATCACTACCACTGCAAAATTTAGCCTAAGCAGTCAAGGCATATGATTTCTACAGCATTTACTTCAAAGTACTATTTTACCTAGCATACCAAAACTTTATCAAAAGATGGGTAGGATGTATGCAATCCACTGGGATAGAGATCTTCACATCTGTGGTTCCATGCTATCATAAAGGGTATTATACTATGAGGATTCATCAACTGTGAGCTTTTGGAATACTCACTAAACAAAGACAGGATGTGAAGAAGCAAAAGATATAGACAAAACAACACAGTGTATTGTGCTCTGTATGCAGATGGAGGAACTAAATCCTTAAATGTTCAGGAGAGAAAAACAAGAACACATGATGTAACAGACTTAAGTGCATATGAAGGCCTACCAGTACATAGAACTTTTGGACCTCAGCTCTTGAACCCTTTCTGTCCTGGTGATCTCAGTGTTAACTGATCAGCGTTAACTTCATTACTTACCATAGTACATAAATAAATAAGAAAAAAATCTGAAGAACCAATACCATTCTAATTAAAACTTACAGTGATTAACTGTGTACCACCAGAACTGATGGATTATGGGCAAAACAAGCTCCGGAGCAACTGAAGGCCCAGCCCTGAAGCAGTGACTAGTGGGAAGGGATCCCCTTGTTGTCAGCTGTGATCAGCGGCAGCAAGAGAGGAAGGCGCACTGGTGGCCATTACCTGGATTACATCCATCACCACCTATGCATGTGCTACTTCATCTTCAATGCAAACTGAAAACTAAAAGGAACTAAAAATTCCCTCAAGGGTCCCCCAGCACCCAGGGACTGGGGTGGGCAAAGCTGGAGTGGCTCTCACTACACCACACAGTTACCAGTGAGCCCAAGAGCCTGCTGCAGGGCCAGGACTACCCAGGCCCCCATCACCAGCAGGAAGGATGCCTCGCCGGCAATTTGTTGTTTTAATCAGTTAAAAGGTGTTCCTTGGTTGGCAGTTTAGATGCAAAATAATGCAATCACCCTGTATACAGTTTCCCCGTAAGATGTTGCTATGTTTTGCAACACACACTGAGATTTACAGGAATGTACTGTACTGCAATTCCTCTCTTTAGCCTGAGCCCTGAATACTAAGACGACTGGGGTTTTCCCCTTCCTGACACTGCAGCTCATGTCTTTAAAAGCCATTCCTTCTTCTGTATTTGTGCAGTAACAGAAAAAAAAGTGATTCCAAAACAACAGGGTTTGAACACATGAATCAAGTACATCTATCCTGTGCAAAAGAACCTCTGCAATATATTATCAACCACTACAGATTTAACTTTGCTCCAGAATAACTGAATAGCTCTTACTTGAAAAAAAATTAGAAATGAGAACCTTTTACTGACTCCAGACAAATATTAAGGTATTTCATTTCGATCTGTCATCAGTTTAAGTCAGGATTAACAGTTTGTCTAAATATTAAAAACAAAGAGGCTTTAAAGTCACTTCTGCAAATCTAATAACCAAATTTGGATATAGTCATGTACATATCTCACTTTTTCTACTTTCATACTTATTCAAGTGTAATGCTGAAATTTTCAGCCTCTGTAGCTGATTCCTAAAGAAAAATATTTTAGGCACCTTTAAAATGAATTTATTTCACAAGTCTCATTTATGCATTTGCCATAAGTTCTTTTAGTAAAAAGTATTTAAGTACGAAAGTTTAAAAAATCATTTAAAATACAGTTTTTCAATAAAATCCAACAAGCATTAAACAGATCTTTCACATTTTACGCTTTTTCCACAAGGCACATGTATAGAACATTTCCAATGAGAAGTTAATTATAACTTACCAAATCTTTACAATGTTTATAAAACTCTAGGAAAACATACAATGGATAATGTACAAACGTGAATGGCACCTTGCAAATTTTAGACAGAACTTTAAATGAAATCTTTATGCATACTACTCAGATCATAGTGGCTTGCCTCCACTGAGGAATAAACTGTTACTGGATGCAAAGTAGTTTTAAGACTACTCTGCATTATTTCAATGTACTTTTTTGTTAAAAAAAAAAAAAAGCCTGGAAGTTCCAGTGTAAACACAAACAATTCGCCAAATTTATTTTTAAAACTCTTTCTAGTAAAAATTATTTAATGTCCCAAATGCAAAAGGCAAGGAAAATACTGAATTGTTACTGGTTATTTCAGGAGTGGAAAAGTATAGTTTTCTGAGCAAAATTTACAGTTGGCTTTTAAAGTGGACAGTGGTTCCTGATTATAATTTACCCTAGACAGGATGAGAAGCATTTAATCACAGCATCCCTTTAAAAAGAAAAAAAAAAATCAGTTATTTGTTATTTTCTTTATAGACATCTCAACCATCACATATTTAAATTAAAATATGACAGAAACTAAAGACAAATACCAATAGTTTATTAAATGCAGGATCTGTGTGTGACTACCTCTATTGAAGCGACCAAAGCAAAGGCTCAAGCCAAATCTGAAACACAGGTCTCCCATGCTGTTTATATTCCAGCACATGCTAAAATGCAGACACAGTGTTAAGAACTGGTCTGCAGCACACTTGGAGGCTTAGCAAAGGTCAGAGCCGTATTTCACAAAGGCTGGCCAGCAAGGGCATGGCTGAGGAATGCACCAAATCCAGTCAGTGAGACACAGGTGCTGTGAGTCCAAACCACACTAGAGTTAGAGCATCACAGCGCAGGAAATAAAGCACAGGCTGAAGGGTTTAAAGTGCAGGTACTGACAGTGTAGGATGGAGAGCTGGTGCAGCCTTAAGGTTTGAAAGATCTGAAAGGCTGTATTTTTTTAATTGAAAATTAGCTGTTTTCTGACTGTTATAGTTAGATGACTCACTTAAGTCTCATTTATTTTTCATTTTCTCAGAAAAGTAACAACTTGCTAAGGAGTGGAATTTGTATTCTGTTGTTAGTTGGCTGAAAAATGAAGAAACATACCATCATGACTCTTTAAAGTCACTGTAGGTATGGGTTTTGGTTTTGTTGCATTTATTGTTGTTTTCATTTGGGTTTGGTTTGGAGGGCTCTTTTTTTGCCAGAGCCACAATTAACTAAAAAAAACAAACATAAACCAACAAAACCCCCCCAACAAACCCATGAACAAGTAAATTGTTTTTAAGAGTAAACCATTAATAAACTGAGGAATGATAATTTTGTTGAAGATTAATACATACTTTAAACAAATGACATAATACTGTTTTCTTAACATAGTTTAGATTTAGAGCACTGTTTCTGTAAGAAAGGCAGCCTATACAAGAAATTTATGATAGCATTCCACAAAAGCAAATAATTCAATAATCCTTAAAGAATTCACTAAATTACTAAAAGCAGTCTGTATAAAATTCAATTCTTTGGCTCATAAAATCTAACAGATAAATAAAACCAGAGAAATTAACTGATGCATATAACCTAATCTTTTTCTGCCCAGAACTTAAAGTACTATTGGTAGGGAAAAAAAAAAAGAAACAGTGACTGGAAGCTCAACTTGGTTTCTGTAAAGAGCAGATCATACAAAAAAAAAAAAAGGAAGGAGCCTACTGAGACTGTCTCCTGTCTCCTGGAACTACAAGAATTCAGGACACTACTTCTGAATGGTTTAGCTTGGATTGTCAGAAATAGGAAGATGACAGTTCGAAGCTCAAGTTCAGGTAAAGTACTTTATCCACTGTAACTATCAACTACTATATTAAAAAAAAGTCCTTCCTAGATGAAATCTGAAGCTTTAAAAATAACTTGTTGGTTTGTTTTTTTAAAAACACACTGTTGAAAAACCAAACTGCATTTTTCATGAATCATTATAGAAAAAATAGATTCTTATATTGGATTACTTGCATGTGTTTTTACTCTGTGTTTGGCTAGCTTTCATTCCCTTTTTGTACATGAGAGTGAAAACAAAGAGAAGCTTGCCAAAATGAAAATTAACACAAAGCATTGCCTTTGTCTCTCCCAAAAATGATGGACGAATTCAGAAATAGACTAAGCAGCTGAAACTATGTTCTTCATTTGCTTTTAACTAAGACCTCAGATCTGTAAGTTAACTTTAATGGATCTGTAAGTTAACTTTAATTTTAATACCAAAAAAGTCACTATTGTATCACTGTATTTTTAAATCACTGGAGAATTTAAACAAAACCTTGATTTATTTTCAGTGATGAAAACTAGAGAGAAATTTATCAAAGATAATTACTGTGCACTTTATTTGTATTTAAAGCTTATATTAAGCATTAGTTTTGAGTTCAGCTATGTCATTTTCCAAAAATTAAAAGGAAAGGAAGGATGTTATGTTCTTCTCACATACTTACTCCCCAGTATAAAGGTAACTGACTTTTGTTA